TCCCCAGCCGACTCCTAATGATTTGCCAACGACTCCCTGCAAGGCGAAAAAAAAGACCAGGGAACGATTGAGCCAGCGACTCCCTTTTCGTCTGGGAAATTGGCCTGACGACTCCCTAGGAAAAAAAAAAAATCAGAAAAATTAAGCCTTAAATTTGGGAGGCCGACTCCCGCCTTTTAGGCGGACGACTCCCGAAATTTAAAAAAAAAAAAATATAAAAAATCGCCTGTGAAATTAGGCCGCCGACTCCCGGGAGTTGGAAGGACGACTCCCGTTTGACGACCTCCCGACCAAAACGGGAGTCGTCGACTAATTTTTGGGAGTCGTTTTTCCAACCCCCAAAAATAAAATTGAAGTTTATACATGCATTCAGAGAGATTTGTGGATCTTTCAACATGTTGATGAAGGGTCTAGACAACAATTTGAAATATTTGAGCTCATGATATCATTCTACATTTTGAATTTAGTTATCATTATCAATCATAATGTTGATATGACCCAACCCCAGTCCCGCCTCGAGCTGCGGGTCGGGTTCAGGCGTCCTGTTTTGACCCGAACCCGACCCGGCTGCATCGTGACATGACCACTTAGCGGTATGTATTTAAGGACTTGGTCAAAATTTATTGATCACTCTGCACAAATACATGAACACGGCTCACCAACAAAGGATCCATCCACGAGGATTGCTCAAGAAGAAATTTGGGAATCAAAAGTATATACGTTCACTCCGGGGAAGGGACACCGATAATTACAAACACCCAAGAGATCCAGGGACAGCAAGAAAGGATGGAAGTTGAACCGCATACGGTTCAGATTCTGTCGACTGTTGACCTAGGTGAGCCAATTGATGAGCCGATAATGAAATGGGTATGAAAAAAACGATTTGCCACGTGCCAAGATTCCGGATATTCTGACAGTTGTTTGCTCGGTCTTGTCTTGTTTTTTTCTCCAACAGACTTGTTAGCCAAAGCACTTGCGAGATTAATCTTGGTATTGAAGCAGAGGATCAGGAAATTTGACCGGACTGTCACTTGGGACAGAAAGAAGGTCTCATCGCAGTTCGAAAGTGAGGTTCATCGAATCAAGACGATTCTTTTACCATCCATACCAAGGAAGCTACATCGGCTATGCGATTTGTTATTTGATTCGGTCTATCTGCAAAAACTCGAAGCTCCTCAACTTCAAGACGGGATTAAAGTCCTGAAAGAACTTGAAAATATCGTCCATAAAATATCCTCTTCAATCGACTCGTTTGTGGTTGATGAATATCAATTCTTTTCAAACCGTGACGCTGAGCGATGGAAACAATATCGATCGGAACGCGCCCAATCAAAACTCGCCGATTCGTTCTTCAACCTGAGATGCCTACTCCTGCTTTATTCTGACCTACTACCGCAACTTGGGGGCATGACCATCACGAGGCACGAGGCAAAACAGAAATTAAGAGAACTGATTGATTATATCCACTTTGAGGAGGAGCGCGAAGATGATCGCATTGCGTGGTTTGATATGTCCGAGCTCTCTGCCGTGCAGGAACACTGTGGAGAGATGGCTGAAGAACAAGGAAAATTGCTCCAGGAGTTGGTCGAGTTTCCAACCCTTCACAAAGATATACATGTCCAACCACTCCGTGAATTCATCCCGATTCTCAAGCTATCACGACTATTCTTCAACAAGATTTCCAAGCCAACCAGTGACGAATCTCATCCAATAACAAGCATGAACACCGATCAGCGTTTGAATCTCATCAATCTCGTCGCCTCCATCCCTACTAAACTCACCAAGTTTTACGACGAAATGGAATGTAACTACGAGCCCACACAAAATATCGATCTAAGCAAAGTCTCTGATCTCGGCAAACTGTTCCAAGCTCCTCTCAATCTTTTAACCAATTGTCTGAGTGATCAAGGTACAAACCCAAACTCCCCTCAAGATTCGATTTCAAAATTGATTTTATGGTATGCCAATTGGCAATGTCACTTCTTTGTAGCCGTTAGACGTTTTTATATTGCTTACACAGACGCCTATTCTAATTTTTTGATTGTGAATTAGTCTTGATTCATTGGGGGGGAGAGAGAGACTTGACTGCCGAGCAATAAACGTGCAGACTTGAAATTTTTCTATCTGTTTCAGTCTTCCTTATTTATTTATTTATTTAGTTATCTGTCTGTTGTTACACCACCCCTTTTTCTTTCAAATGTTTGACAGGATGAGTATCCTGGTTATCTATTTGATCAGTACATGTGTATAAGAAATGAAATGAGAATGATATCACATAAGGCTTGAAGTAAGGAACATAGACAAGCTTGCTATTGTGAAGATATATTGTGGAATTATAAGTATCTTCATTACTGCAAAACAAAAACCAACAGTATCTGACAAGTAGACATGAATCTATACATGGAAATCAGAGCAACCACTCAATCACCAAAAAATGGGGCTAACAAGAATAGAAAAAAAATCCAATGGAAGAGTCATCACATCTTACTATCAATTGACAAGAATAATAACACAAGGCTTGTCATCATAAGATTAAGGCAGGCACCTGCACAGCTTTGTTGTTGTGAGAATGTATCGTGAGATTATAACTTAAAGTAACTTTATCATACCCAAAAGGAAAACCCCAAGGAGTGGGTTGGAATTCTGATTGTATTCCTTTTCTTTCTTACTAATGACTCTCTCACCTCTGATTAACATTTCTAAATCATCTCAGTCTCTCTATATTATAGTCTGTTCTCCAATCTAATTTGTACCTACAGTGCACCCCCTTGTATTCAAAGAGCCCTAGGGAGTAGCCCTTTATCAACTCTCTTATTTGGAGTTTATCTTCTTGTATGTTTTATACTCCTGTATATCCCTATAAATGTATTGCATATTATTGGTTTCAATGTTGTCTGTACACAGAAGATGGGGCATGTTTGGATAGCTGTCCATCTGGTATTTAATGCAACTAATTAAACAAGGAGATCAGTGTCTTTGAACTGGTATACAAATTCTGGGCTGTGGAGAAAGGTGATTGGTTTGGAAATACAGTAAATTTTGAAACTCTGATTTAGATTAGAAGTCATAATTTATCACCTTACAGCTTTGTTTATTTGTTTGTTTGTTTTTATTTCAAAACAAGTCTCACAGAGTCCAGCTTAGGGATTACAATCTCTGCAGAGAGAGTCATATGAAGTCTTCAAGTGTTTGTGGCACAAATATAACTTCCAAAGAGATCAGAGTC